AATTATCTTTTATTTTTTGTCCATTGATTGTGAAAACTGATAAACATCTTTTACTATTGTGATTATATAACTATTATTCATTTAAGACCATTGTATCATATGTAACTATTATTCATTCAAAACCATTGTATCACGATTGGCCAACAGAAAATAATAGAATTCTATATTATAAAACTACCATTTAATAGAAAAACCTGCAATCAATTTTTAAAATCCAAATGCATATCAGAATTATCTTGGAATTGTATGAAAAACACAAATGCCGAGGTTTTGCTTTTTTCTCCAAAGCTTAACTCCACATGTGTTTCTAATAAGCAGATGTGTTTAAAAACAATTGGACTGTATGATGGTCTTTTACTTTTATCTAGTTTGTTTCACTTTTTCTATTTCATATCCAGTGCTCGTATTTCACTTAGCTTATGTTTTTCCAGTTTCTCAGTCTCGTTTTTCGTTGTTCTTTCTCAAGCTTTTATCAAGTGTAGAAAAGCTTTTGTATACATATATAGTATGTATAATACAATATAGTATGTATAATATAACATATATTTTAGAAAACTTACAACTTTTTGCATATCCAAAAAAACATGACATTTTGATTCCACTTGTTTGACTAAGTATGGACAGAATGCTAGATTTCTAATTTATATTCACTCAAAACTTTGATATTGTTCCATTTATTCTGACATCTAGTATTACTGCTAAAAGTCTAGAAAGCTTATTTCCTTAGTGATTTAAAAAAAACAAGTTGAACAAGGCTTGAAATTTCTAATCCAATTCTGAGAATATAACGAAATACTATGTTGAAAAAAAAATCCAGTAAAGTAACATATGATACATATTATAAACTAAAGTGTAGATTTTGCTCAAATTTCACAAAATTTTATGTTAGTGTCCATTATCTGTTTTCATACCTTAGTCAAGATTCTATATAGTATTTAGTTGCATTGAGCAGCTTCAGCTGCATGCAACAAATTCTGATAAATTCTCTTTTCATTTTTATTGTTATATTTTCTAATTTTTCTTGTTATGGCTTATTAGATACACTCATAATTTAAAAGTAGACATTTAATTTCCAAATACATGCTTTTATTAAAAGTATTTTTTATTTTTTTAAAAGTATCTTTGATATTAATTTCTCATTTAAATGCTTTCTTCTCTGCAATCACCCTCTGCTTTTTCATTGTTTTAACTTTACCGAGGCTTTCAATGGCTAAGTCAAAGGTCTCTTGGTAAATGTCACATTGCACTTGAAAATATGTGGTTTATTTTTGAATATCTTTTTATATTGATTTCTAACATAATTCCACAGGGATAAGAGAACAGACTCTGCATGATTTCAATACTTTCAGACCATGAAGTTTTTGCACCTTGTTTTTGGATATGTTCCAGTGTCACTCAGTTGGTAAAGAATCTGCCTACAATGCAGGAGACCCAGGTTTGATCCCCGGGTTGATATGTTCCAGCGTCTCCTGGTTTATAGTCTATGGGAACTTGAATAGAATTTGTATCCTGCTGTTGTGTGAAAATTGTGTAAGTCTTAATTACGTTGAATTGGTTCATAGTACTTTTCAGGTCTACTATATCCTTATACTTTTCTGTTTATTCATTCCATTAATTTTTGAGAGTTTGATATTGAAACTCCAACTAAAAATCTTATTTTATCTACTTAAAAAAGTAATTGTACTTACTATATAGTGGAACTATATGCAAATTTGCTCTGTATTTTCCAAGTCTCCTGTAAATGTGTTATCATATTTTCATAATTTAAAAAAGAAAAAAGTATATAGCGATGTACTATTGGAGATAACCTAAATAAGTACATGTTTGATTGAAGAAATAATTGCATTGACACATGCTAATTTCTCATTGTTGAATATAACAATAAAAATTTTCATGTATTTTCATGGACAAATTATATTCATAGAAATCTGTAATATATATGTTGGGCTTTTCTTCTCTACAGGTTTGTAAACTGAAATTAAAAAAAATAATATATAGTTGATCTACAATACTGTGTTAGTTTCAGGTGTATAGCATAGGGATTAAGTTTCCTGTTTTTGTTTTATGGATTTTTTTTTTGCAAATTATATTCTGCTATAGGTTATGACAAGATATTGGGTATAATCCCATGTTATACAATATATTTGTGTTGCTTATCTCAAAAAAAGTGCCTAAGGCAATATGACAGCTAAACACAATGTGGAATCCTGAATCTGATCCTAGAATAGAAAAATTATAGTAGTGGAAAAAATGATGAAATTCAAATAGGTTCTATACTTTCATTAAGAGTATTGTACCATTGTTCATTTCCTAATTTTGATAATTGAAATGTAGTTGTATAATTTCTTAACATTTGGGAAATCTAAGTGAAGGATATATGGGGATTCTTTGTATTGTTTTTATAACTTTTAGAAAGTCTGAAATTATTTAAAAATAAGGAGGTTTTAATTCTAAAAAAACCAGAATGTTTAAGGAGCAGGGAGAGAAAATGTCTGGGAAGGACATATAGAGTGAGGACACCTATTCTCATGTCCTAATCTCCTGGAAGGAGGGGTATGAGGGGGCTGCTGGGGGAGCAGAGTACTAAGGGAAAAGCCAGATTTCTATTCAAGCAGTTATTCTCAGTGAGGGATTGAACAGACAGGCAAGGGGTGTTTGGGGAGCATTTGACTGTCACAATAATTGGAGATTACTTGTGACATTCAGTGGGCACTGACCAGGGATGCTCAGCATTCTGCAGTGCACAAGACAGCTCCATACGGCTAACAATCATAATGAATCCCATACAACTTTAGAATGTTCCATCAGACAATCACGTAGGTGAAAAATCTGTTCGTTCATTCATTCATTCAATAAACATTTATTGAGAGAGACTACTATGTTCAAGCATGGTTTCAGGTAATAGGGATACATCAGGACACAAAACAAACAAACCATGTCTGCCCTTCTGGAGTTTACAATTGAGTGGGAGAGTCAGACAATAAACAACAAACATAATAAAGATGTAAGTTATGTTATGTAAGAGGGTGAGAAGCACTATGGAAAAAACAGAGCAGGGTATGTGCTAGGGGAGTGCTACAATTTTAAATATGAAGGTCAGGGCAGGCCTCATTGAGAAAGTGACATCTGAGAAGAGGCCTGAAGGAGGTGAGGGCATGAGCTTTGTGGATATTGGAGGGGGGCACATTCTAGGTACAAGGGATGGCCCAGTTCAACCTCCTGAGGTGGATGTGTGCCTAATATGTTCAAGTAGCCTAGAGGAGGTCAGGATGGGTGAAAGAGAGGGAGTAAGTGGGGAAAGTCACTGGAGATAAGATCAGAGAGGTTATGGGAGCCAGATCATGGATTTTAATATATAATGACTTTTCCAGTAATTCAACAACCATATAAATTGAGGGAAGATTGCACTTTGTTTTGTTTAGAACCTTATGAAGAACTGCTCATCATCTAGGAAAATCACATCACCCTATCCATGGTTTGTGAGTCACAGTGTAGCTGTCACACTCCCAGGTACAAGCATTATATGTTCAAGACCACTCCATTATGTTCAAGACCACCCCATTATGTTCAAGCCCACTCCATTAAGTCTTCCCGTGGGATTATATCCCAGGCTTTACATATAGAAATATATATTTAAAAAAAAAAGATAAGGAAATATATATTGTTTCACTATAAATTATTTTTCCTTTACTTCTCACTTATATCCAATTAGGACATTATATTGGTTTTGAGGGGAATTATGTGTGTAGACAGATTCTATTATCTATGCATTTCAGTTCAGAACAGTGAAGGAGATATTTCAAAATGTACATTATAAAAATAAAGTGCTGTGTCCAAAAGGTATGAGAACCACTAAGGCATGGCAAAAAAACCCAACAGGACTATTCAGAAACCAGGGTGAGAATGAAAGGGATTTTGCTGATGACTGAAGGTGAGTTCCAGACCCCTGGTCAACTCCCGGGATGTAATGAGAAGAGCCCTGGTCTCTGGTCTTCTTGTGGTAACTAACATGATACAGGATAGGAGCCTGATTCACTTTTTCATCTAAGCTGCTCCCCACCCTAGGGGGGTAGGTCTCACGTGTTTAACACAGTAGCTGGGGAACAAAGTGGGTTGTCTCCTCAATGATGCCAGAAGCAGCCTAAGAACAGGCTCCGTTTTTTTACCCACAGAACAGACTAGAGCCCCAGACTAAGCTGATAGGCACTCTTAGGCCAAGCTCATGGCTATAAACAATGTACCTCTAACCTGTTTCGGGATGGGAAAGAGAAAGAGGAAAAGCAATAACAGAGAAAGAAGCATTCAGAAAGAAGAACCAATTGGGGTGGGGGGGAGGGTCATAGACAGGGAAAAATAAAGGCAAAGGCCAAGAGAGACTATATTCTTTTCAACCATAACAGTTATTATTTATTGACACTTTTCTAGGGGCCAGGCAGCAGGGCAAAGTGAGGCACATGTATTGTCTCAGGAGATTATTAGACTCCTATTTGACAGATGAGGAAACTGAGGCCCAGCTGGGTGAGGCTCAAGGTTTTACAGCTAATTTTTACTGGTTGGATCAGGATTCAGCCTTGTAGGTCTGGATGGTCTCCTATGTCTCAGAGAGGGAGCCAGACAGAAAGGTAAAGGCAGACAGAAAGGTGGGGATAGACACAGAGGAAGGGGGAGTGGAGTGGGAAGAGAGAGACGGAGACTTTCAGACAAGCAAGCAGACAATCACGTGAGCTGCAGACCTGCAAAGTACACCGTTTACCAAGAGACAAAAATGAGGGGAGCTCTGAGGGCGGGCATGGGGGTGGGCTCCACAGGGTACTCACCTGGTTGCTGTTTGGGGCCGCAGGAGCACTCGCCCTCCTTTTGCTACCCGCACGATCCTCCGCAACCTGCTGACCTAGGGTTGAGAGGCCGCCCAGATAAAAGCTCGCCCAGGTCCAACCTCTCACGCGCTCCGGCTGGGCATCTTTCCCCCCGCGTTCCCCACCCCCAGTCTTTACAGAGTCTCACCGGAATCCTCGGGCCGTCGGTGCCGCCACTGCCTCGCGCAAGCAGATTCCAGGTACCGGCAACTGGATCTCGCGAATGCAGCGGATGCGTCCCTCCCGCCTGCCAAAGCGCTAGGGGTGGTCGCAGGCCGCCACGGCTACCGACGGCTCCAGGGTCCTATTGGAGGAGTGCCCTCCTGTCTTCCCTGGGATTGGCTGGAGGTGGAAACACTTTATTTTTTTACCCCGCCCCCCACCCAGCTAGGATCCAAGCCCAGGAAAACCCGCCCCTTTGGGGGTCTTTGATTGGTTTATGAGCCAAGCCCATCCTTTAGTAGGATTGGCCAGGAGGAGGATCGTCATCGCTCTTTGCCAGTCGGTTCGATGGGTCTTCGGGCGGTTGGTTGGGAGCACGCAGGCGCGAAGCCCAAAGTGAGGCCTGGCGCGAGTCACTGGACAATCTGAGATGCGCAGCTTCTTGACGTTTTATTCTCCGTAAACCACCGCTCCTCTAAGAGACACCATTCTGCCCCCAGTTTCCCATAGGTTACCCCCGTCTGCAGGCATCTCAGAGCCAGGTTTCTCTCGCTCAAAGTGAACGTAGTTCCCAGTTTTATCCCTGGAGGATGAGGTGGTTATAGGCGTCTGGCCAGTCACCCACCAGCCCCTGCTACTTACTGATTGGTCAAGTGACAACCTCACTCAGAGCCTTAGCTTAACCATCTGTGAAATGGGAAGATAACTTTAAAAATCTTACCTGAAAATGCTATCCATTCAATAGGGGATTCAATGACAGAACATAAATTAGTTGCCTGGAACATAAATAATTAAGGTCTCCGCTCCCAATTCTTGCCTTTGCCATTGTTTCACATTTAGGGAACTATGGCTCAGAGAGGCAAACTGATTGACTTAAGGTCACACAGCAGTACGACCCAGCATAAAACCCCGGCTTCTGTCTTCCAGACGAAAAGAGTTTAAGAAGGAAGGAGATAGAGGAAGGCCCTTCCTATTATCAGGGTTTCTTAGTTTGGGTTCACATACCTCACTCCAGTCCAGCTGGGACAGGGTTTAGAGGGGTTCCTAAATTTGGATGGGGGAAAAATGTTTTTTTTCCACTCTCCTGTAATTGAAATTTAGCATCTTTTCAGCAAAGAATATAACTCACCATAGTAGTAATAGTACCTGTGACTCCATCACTAATAGAAATCACAGAGATTTTCATGTCTCATTCTAGATGTTTCACATTTCTTGAAATATATAATCTCATCTCTATCTCAAAAGCATATTTGTCATTAGACTGTCCATTAGATCTTGTGATTGAATGGGTTAACAAGGAGCAAATATATTACTATAACACATTTATTTTTCCATATTTTAATAACAATATTTAAATGTACTCAATATTTTATGGCTCTAATTATTTTATTTTATGCATTCAAAAGATATTGTTTTCTGAGAAAAGATGCATAGGCTTCACCAGGTCACCGAGCAGGTCCATAGCACACAAAAAATGTTATGAACACTTGTTTCAACTCTGTGCTCCAGGGGGACAAAAACTTGGTCTATTCATGTTCCCTTGCTGTATTCCTATCACTGAGTTTCTATCAGGCACACAGCATGTGCTCAATAAATGTTTATGGAATGAAAAATAGGATGCTTCCCTAACCATCCTCCACTTTCCCAACCACGGGAGCCACTGATGGCCTTTTTGGTCACCAAAGAAGGAGGAATCTAGTTTCCTGAATTTGGTTTTGTCCCTGCTAATCTACTTTTAGTCACAGAAGTGGGTGGCACTTTAAAGGTCTGGTCCTAGGAAGTCCTGGGAACTTAGCAACCCTAAGGAGGTTGCTCCAGGCTTCAGGGGAGTGGGGTGAGTTGTGAAGGATATAAAGACAAGTAGCTTCAGCATGGGAACGGGCTCTGGGGCACATTGGATCTACAGTTCCTCACTCTCCTCCTGGTTTCTGTTTGGGGTCCCAGCAGATGGGCCTGTCTTGGATATGACCTTAAGGACTTCTAGAACAGTCCTCCCTTTTGGAGGACCAGACTGGGCAGAACTGAAGCCACACCACACACTGAGGAGTGAGAGCACAGGGAAAAGATGTCACCCTAGACAAAGAACATTTTCTTCTCCCATGCCTCAGTCCAGGACATGAGCATCCTGGCCAAGTATATTAGAATCCCATAATTGGGTCCTAACAGTGTCCCTGAAGTCAGAGGCCCTCTCTGACAGGGTGGGTGAAGAGGAGCCAGGATGAGAGGCTAGGGATTTGATTAGAGAGAGAGAGAGGAATCAGGGAAGAGCATGATGAAGGCCAGACTTCAAAGGTTTGCTTTAAAACTAGACTCCATTTGGGATCTTAGGCTGGTTGCTTCTCCTGGGCTGATCCCCCAGCATGATTAGTCTCTTTGTAGATGGGAAAGCTGAGACCCTCTAGAGAGGGTGAGGGAGTCATGTTGTGCACCAGAGTAGACTCAGGCAAGGATACCCAGGTTCTTTCTCCAGATCCTTTGCCCCTGCTGCTTTCCCCTCCCCTCCACTTCATCACGTGCTCATTAGGACTGACTCCAGATACTGCACATAGGTGTTTCTTTCCTTTGTGCAAGATGCCTTGACTCAGCATCCTGTACTCTCAGCTTTGGCCCTGGGGCAAGATGTTCTCCTTTTGGGCCAGGGTCTCCTCTACCCACTTCTGATAGTGTGGTCCCAGGTTAGAACTAGAGGCATCCAAGCTTCCATGCTTTCCCCAAAACATTTATCAGAATCTGGATTATATCCAAGATCTGGTATTCTAACCATTTCACAGGAGGTCCCACAGCAACCTGGCAGTCATCTCTGACTTCTCTCAATCCCTCTTTTTCTATACTTAGAGCTTGTTGATTCTAGCATCTTAAAAGCACTCATAGAATACACACATTTCTTGTGCAGGAGAATTCCAATTAATTTCTGTAGATACTTCCCCATCAAGGAGTTGGAGGATAACTCCTCACTCCCTAAGCATGGGCTATGCTTAGTGGCTTCCTTCCAGAGAGTACAGTATGGAAGGTGGGGGAATGGAGTGACTTTACAGCAGAAAAACCTGACATACACTACCTCAGCCAGGTGATCAAGTTAACATCAACAGTGATAATGCATATTTATAGCATGTACCTTTGATATGATACAAAGAGTATGGTACTTTATTTCTGTGGTCCTCCTTTACCAAACCCATAACTCCTGTCTAATAATGAGGAAAATACTAGACAAATCCCAACTGAGGGACATGCTGCAAAATACCTGACTAGTATTCATCAAATGCTGATGGCTCCAGGTCATCAAAAATGAGAAAAATCTGAAAAACTGTCATAGCCAAGAAGAGACTATGGAGACATGATGACTAAATGTAATGTGTCCTAGATGGCATCCTGGAACATAAAAATAAAATTTAGTGAAAACTAAGGAAATATGGACTTTCATTAATAATGTTTTGATATTCATTAATTGTGACAGACATATCATACAAATGTAAGATGTTAACAATAGGGGAAACTGGTAAGGTATACTGGTAGGGTATAGGTACACTCTCTGTATTATCTTTGCAATGATTTTGTAAATCTAAAACTTCCAAAATATAATATTTTAAAAACCTCCTGTATCCTTCCCCATCACGCCATTCTCACCTTAGGTATAGCATCAACTTCCTCACTGCTCTCCCTCCCTTGAATCAATGCTCCTGGCAGCCAGCAGAGGGCATTATGTAAAACACAAATCAAACCGTCTGAAGCCTTCCCCAAAATAAGAGCATCGGATGGAAAGTTTGGGAAGTATATTGCAGAAGACATACCCGGATGTCTGGGATCTGTGTGTAAGTTATTATGATTCATAAAGAAACTGGGAGGTTTCTGTGGTGTTCGTGGAAATAAAGTTACTGTATCCAAAACGTAAAGCCACTGGGCCTTTCCTCAGATATTCCCAGATAAAGCCTGTCTTTCAGACGCCCAACTCCTGACCGTTTCCGCCCTGCCCCCACAGCTACATAGTAATTTTCCTTTTCTCTTCCTTTGAAAAGTAGTGAAAGTGTCAGTCGCTCGGTCGTGTCCGACCCTTTCCGACCCCATGGACTGTAGCCCGCCAGGCTCCTCCGTCCATGGAATTCTCCAAGTAAGAATATTGGAGTGGGTAGCCATTCCGTTCTCCAGGGGATCTTCCCCACCCACGGATCCAACCTGGTCTACCGCATAGCAGGCAGATTTTTTACCGACTGAGCCACCAGAAAGCCCTGCTTTTCCTTTATCTCTATGCAAACTCCCCAGTCAGGGCTCTTTTCTTGCCTTCTCTCCCAGGTCCAGCCCGAGATCATGCACCCTCTTCCTGAGAGAGCGCTTATGCATTACTGGATTAAGTCCTAACTGATATCATTTTTATTTCACTACATGCGAACGAAAAAAATGGATTCCTCTAGCGCCCCCTCTCCCAGCTCAAACTAAGCCGGAGGAAAGGTTTGACGCACGATAAATAAAAAGATCACTGAATAAAATATTCCAGGGCGCAGGGCATCTCTGTGCGCATGCGCGGAGGGGAAGGCGTGGGAAGCCGTTAGCTACCTGCCTGGGTCTACTGCGGCCTCCGGGAGAGGGAGGGGCTCCCTCAGCCTCGCCCTGCCATTGGTCAGGATGGTCCGCATTGACCTGACGCAACATCTCTGCGGTCGGGAGGAGCTCGCCCCTAGCCAGGCACTCCCACCCCCAGCAACTCCCATCTTCCTGGCCCCTGCATAGACGAGGCGCCTACTTGCGGGCCTGTGGGAACGGAGACTGGCTGTTGGGGTCCGCGCACCGAGTGGGACAAAAGACTCGAAACAGCACTCTGAATTTGCTCACACTTTTATTAGGATTACCAGGGTCCAGAGGGAAGGAGGTGGGACTTCTGGGGGAGGGGCACAGGAATAGCGCAATGGCGAAGCGGCCTTGCATAGACACCGAGGCGGGCTAGCGGGCGCAGCTGATAAAGGCGACGGGTGGAGGAAAAGCGAGGGACTTGGGAGAACAGGGTGGCAGCAGAGCCCCCCAAGGCCACAGCAGCCCTCCCCGCTTCGGAATCAAGGGTGTCCACTCCACACAGCACGAGGAGGGGGATAGAGGGGCCCTGACCAAGGCATCACAATAAATACATTTAGCAGCACACAGAAGCCTGCAGGGGAGGAGGGCTAAAATGAAGGGGAAAGCCCCCATTCCCTCCCCCCAAAATAAGAACTTCTCAATTACTAAACCATAAAAATAAACTTTAAACCCGTGTAGGAAGTCAGTCACCCCCCAGAAGTGCAATGCGGGGCCGCTCGGCCCTAGCTGATAGGGAGGGCAAATGGGGCAGGGGGAGGAGGATATAGAGAAGCAGCCCCTGAAAGGGTAAGACGTTTATCCCATTTTGCCCCTCTTTCCCGGGATGGCCCAAGGGTTTTGGACCTGAAGCACCTTCTCCATGTCGGAGTCTTCTGAGTCTTCCTCTCCTGAGTCGTCTTCGATTCCTTCCTCATCATTGCTGTTCTCACCTTGCTCACTGCCTGCACAGGACAGAGAATCAAGGGCGGGGGGGTAAAATGGAAGACGGTGGTTAGATGGACAGGTAGATGTCACTCTTCATAGGGAACAGAGCCCACAGTCAGGTTTTGGGGGGCCTGGGACCACTCATCAAGCACCTCTGCTTGGAACAAGCAGCCAAGTATGTGTGTGAACTCAAGCTAAGAGAGTAAAGGGAAGTGGGAGGAAAGCAGGAAGGCAGGGTGGGCTGCCCCTGTCCTAACTGATACACCTCTGAAAGTAGCTTTTTCTCCCAGCGTATGCAATTTGCATGTCTCTTCCTGAGCTCTGACTTCAGCTGAATAAACCTTCTATTCATCCAGAGGCTGCTCCCTCTTTTTCCTTGGTGTGATTCAAATAGGCCTAAGTCTGTCTTCTTTGGCCCAATTCCCCACCCCTGGTCCCATACTAGGGTTGTACGGATAACTCTGCCTCCCCTTTTCTGAAAGGAGATGCCACTGAGTAGGAGGGGATGAAGCCACCAATTCCCTCAGTTTCCCTACCTAAAAATATGTCTAGATTGAATCTGCTCGCTCATTCAACTCCTCCCTTCTCGGTGCCCTCTATGGAAGTTTGCCAGGGATACCATGCCCAAAACTCCCAGGAGTGGTTTGTCCTCCTGCTCCTTCCACCTACGGGGCTGCCTCTCCTCTATTTGCCTGCCTACAGCCAGGCTCAAGCATACCCCTTGTCTGCCTTCTGCCATTTCCTTCTTAGCTAAAGTTTGACTCTATTACCTTAACCCCTGCTCATCCCTCCCCCTCCCTACTGTGGTCTGGTTCTACCCCCACCAAGCCACTGAAACTACTCTTCCCAAGGTCACAGATGATCTATTCAGCCGCTAATACAATGAACACATCCCGGCCCTCATTTTACTTGCCCTTTCAGGACCACTGGACACTGCTGACAATTCCTTCCTTCTCAGAATGTTCCATGACCTAGTTCTCCTCCTAACTCTACCCTTTCAGAGTCTCAGTTTCCCCATCTATAAAATGAGGATAATAGTACATACTTCTTAAGAGTTGCTGTGAGAATTAAATTACTTAAAGCAAGAAAACCCTTAGTACAATGACTGGCACATAGTAAACACTTCATTAATGTTAACTGGACCCAATTGACATTAACTGGCCCCAGAATCCAGATAGAGGATTCTGCCCTGGCTTGTTACCTCCTTTCTTTACAATTTCGACTTCCCAGACATACCACTAACCACCTGCCTCTCAGACACCTGTACCTGTGTCCAACAAGCCCTTCCGACTCCATGTTCCTCTCTGCATCCCACCAATCCCACTGCCATGCCCTTCCCCATCTCATGAAATGGTGCCTCCTTTGGCCAGTCATCCAGGACAGAACCAAACATGACAGTTACCTTAATTACTGCTTTCTCCCTCAACCCTCCATGTGCAACCCTTCCTCAGCATTTCCCAAAATGCTTTTTTTGATGGACAGTGAACAATGGCTTCTGTGATCAATGTTTGGGAAATGCTGACTTCTACAATATTTAAATAGGTTTCTTAGAGCAGGATTTATCAGAGCCTTTCAGGTGCCAATGTACATGTGACTCTACATAAGGACATTATTGTATGCAGTATTTCCCCAACATATTTGACCACTGAAGCTTTTTGTGAGAACCTTTTAGTGAAGGGTCTTTAGAAGACAACCTGGGAAACCCTAACAGACAGACTATGCATTTTCACCCTTCTAGGTTCTTTTTCATGTGATCCCTTCCACCAAGAATGCCCCATAATGCTCCTTAATGTGAAGGCAGCCTCCAATTGAAATGTCACTTTCTTTCTCTAGTTCTCCCCTTCCTGATTCTGGAGATAGAATTAGCTCCTCCCTCCTCTGGGATCACTGAGCACACTGTTCACTTCACCCCCAGCTCCCCAAGCAAGCCTGGGAGTTCCCAGAAGGCCAGGACTGGGTACAGAGTGTGCTGAATTGCAATGTGTTTGCCACTTTTTTTCTTCTGTGTGTGAACCTGTCTTAGTTTACCACCCACTGCCTCCTATCTATCTCTTCTCTCCGCTTCATTTGTCTTGTGTTCTGTTACAACCTATCTGCCTATCACCAAGAACTGAAATTTGTTTGTTTTGCTATGTTTGCAAATTAAATGTTTCCTGGCCTTGCTTCATTTAAAAACTTACTGAGAATGCTTTTTTCTTTTCTCCACAAGAGCAGATTGTGCTCTTGCCTTGATACTCTGACCCCGGCCAGATTTTCTCTGACAGAAGAGAAAGGAGGTAAGACAAAAGGTGAGGGTCCAAAGAAAAAAACAAAAAAGGTGAGGGTCCAGCTCACCTTCCTCACTGCCCTCCTCCTCTTCCTCCACTGATGACTCTTCTTCAGAGATGTTCTCTACTTCGTCCTCATAGTTGTCCTGGTTGGTGGTGTTATGGTGATCCTTGTCAGAGCCTTCAAGGTAATTCTCGTAGTCGTCAATGTCTCTGTCGTCATCATCACTGCCTTCATTGTCACCTTCGTTGCCATCATCATCACTACCTTCATTGTCACCTTCGTTGCCATCATTATCTTCAATATCACTGCCATCATTGTCTCCTTCATTGTCACTGTCACTGCTGTCCTGGTTGTTGCCATTGCTGCTTTGGTTGCCACCTTTGGGGTTCTCATCATCACCAATGGGGTTCTCATCAGCATTCTCATCGTTGTCATCAGGGTTCTCTTCGTTCTCATCAGTGTTTTCATCTTCAGGGTTCTCAGTGTTGTCATCGGTACTCTCCTTGTCATCAGCACTCTCATTGTTATCAGTGGTTTCATTGTCATTGGGGCTTTCGTTGTTGTCGGTGGTCTCATTGTGGCCAGGGCACTCGCTGTCACAGAGGCTCTCATTGATGTCAGTTATCTCGTTGTCAGTGGTCTCGAAGCAGTCAGTGGTCTCCATGAAGTCAGAGATCTTGACGTCATGAATGGTCTCATTGTCGGTGATACCATCACTGTCTGAGGTCTCTCCAATAATGTCTTCCATGATGTGATAGTCATCAGAGTCTTCCACGATCACCACTTCATATTCATCCTTGTTTTTACTGTGGAGAAGTCTGAGGTTCAGTATACGGTTGGTGGGAGGTGATGTAATCAGAGCAGATAAACACTGAAAGGTGGTAAGTAACAGGGGAGGCAGTAGGCTACAAGGATTCCCAGGTATGAGGCTAGGTGGGGAGAGTCCCATTTCTGCCTCTGACAGCATAACCTCAGCCAATCACACCCCATTTCTGGGCAATATGTTTTACCCACTTGTAAAACATATTGGATTGGATCATCTCAAAGGTCCCTTTTGGCTCTACGAATACTGTGTGACACTAGCCTAGTCTTTGCCCCACCCCTAACAAACCACGTCTCAGTCATCAACCCTCCGCCATCACCTTTCTTCTTTTTCTTGCTTCTTTCTGCTTGTTCTGTAGCCCCCTTCTCCCATCATGTAGTAACGCACAGGGTTAACCCACAGGTCATTCTTGATAATCTGTTGAAAGAGACAGGGGAAGGGAGCTATGAGCACAAGTCCCAGAGCCTACTCCCAATCCCCCAGGCATCCAAGGGCAAGCCTAGCAAGGTCTTCCCTGGCAATGCCAGGAGGGGCCCCACCTCAGCAATCCTGTCAGCTTCTGGGAGGCTATGGTTTGAGAACCAGCTGAAGAAGCTGTGGCTGGCATCCTGGTTCCCATGCCTGTGGGCCTGAGGTTCCTGGCCCCGGTGCCAGCGAATTGGGGTGGAGTGAGACACCAGCCGGCCTGGGGGAAAAGGAAGGTATAGAGAGGGCACTGGACAAGGTTAGATGGGGGGGATGAATTTGCTCTGGGGCTACCTCTTACCTGAGCGGTTGCGCTGGAACTCCTTGACAATCACCATATTTGTGAAGTAGGGGTTTGTCTGGAAGTACAGCTTCATTTTGTAGCCCATGGAGATATGTCTGAGATCCTGTACCTGCTCAGGGTGGGGGTAATGGTGGAATTCCCACCACACTGTGGCCCCTCCCACCCAATCCCCCCTCACCTCCAAGGACCAGATTCCTCGCCCAGTCCTAGCAGAAAAGATCTCTCTTTGGCCTGACCTGCAGGTTGGTCAAGTAGCGGAAAATGTCTTCATCGCGTTGGTTGATCAAGATTGAAATTTTGGGGTGGTTGAGGAACTGATGGAGGGAGCAGTTTAGGTCAAGGAGTGACTGTTCAATGAGAAGTAGGGAAGGAAGGCCAGACAGGGATACGCAGGGCAGAACAAAAGAGAGGCTGGAGCAGAATTCCTTCTGTGCTCATGTGATGTATGTGGAGCAAATAGGTCATGCGACAAGACCCATACTTTTATTCCCATGATACCATGTGGTGAGCGCCTGTGTTTAAAAATATCAAACCTCTATATTAGGTGGCCCTGCCATGGTTGATATTTGCTGTGTGTTTGAGTGCTCGGAGTCTATACCCAAGTGATGTTGTGTCTCTGAGTGTTCACAAGACAAGACATTGTGTGTGTCTGGGGGCAAAAAGCCCTTGTCCAAATGATGCTATATCTGGTTGCTGATGGCCTGTTGTCACATGATGTTATATATTTGGGTGTTATGGGTATGTGTCAACATAATGTTGTGTGTCTGTGTCTGAGGGCTTGTGTCCAGGTGATGGTGTGGTCTGGGTACTGAGGACTGTGGCCACATGATACTGTGCCTGGGTACTGGGAGCCTGTGATCATGTGATATGTATGTATGACTGTGTCAAGTGTCTGAGTCCATGTAATTCTATTAGGATGTTAACCCCAGGTGTTTCTAACATGTTACATGGTCCCCCAGAGATAAGCTTATCACCAACAGTGAATTACTGTTATTTCCTTCATTTAACTTCTTAATCTCTAGATACTCCTTTTCCTGATCCTTCAGGGCTCTGGCCCCCTCCTCTCCAGCCAGGATTGGGGTCTCCCTAGAATCTAAGTAGAGACCTAGGCATGCACAGCCATGTGTGACTTGGGTACACTTTCTGGGCCAATTCTCTGCTGTATGCCCTTCCCCTCCCTCTTCACTGTCTCTGGGTCAGTTTATCTTCCATGTCCCCCTCTCCCCACTCCTCGTTTTACCATCTCTGGTCTAATTTTTCTGCTGTGTGTCTCTGTCCTCTCCTTTTCACTGTCTGTGATCCATTTATTTTTTAATGCTATGCTCCTTCTCTCTCGCTTTCCCATTTGTGGTCCAGTTTTAATGGGCCCCCTCCCCTTTCCCCAGCCCAGCTTCTCTGATGTTTTGCCACACTCCTTCCATCCCTTCTCCATCAGACTTCCTCATTCTTCCAACAGGGGCCCGCCCCCACACCCTTTCACCCAGTCTGTCCCTCCTCCCACCGCCCCCCACCCAATTCTGGTCATGGGCCCCTGGCCCATGAGTATAGATGACAAGGATACTGCTTTGACCCAGAAGCCTGGGATATGCTGGATGATAAGATCTCTGCGCTCCAGGAAGGGTCTCCGCATCTGGATGAACTTGCGCTTGAGACGGAGGAAGGCCTTGCCTGCCTTGATATTCACCGCCTCCAGGTCTAGTTGAATGTTTTCCAGAGCCTGCAGGATGCACTCTATCTTCTCGGCATTCTTCTCTGGGCTTTCCCTCTTCACCTTCCTGGGCTTCCTCTTCCTCCTCCTCCTCCTCTTCCTCACACTTTCCTTTTCATCCTCGTCGTCGTCTTCCACGATGATGACAGTCTCCTCTCTCCCCCTTGGACCGGCTAACCTCTGGTACCCCCGCCCCCCTGCGCTACAGGTTTCTAGGGCCTTCTCTCCTGCAAAGCTGCTGGGCTCCGTCACCTGGAAGTCAATCTCCAGGTTTCCCCCAGAAACCTCTGAGGGAGAGAGCATTTCTAGGCTCTCCGCGGGAGGGGACGACCCCCCGTACCCTGACTCGACTGCGGGCTCCCAGCCGGGACCCCCAGCCCCCAGGGTGAAGTATGCGCGGATACCCCCCTCCTCGAGGATGACATAGGGCGGAGGCGGGGGCAGAGCGGGGCCCAGTCCCACCCCCCTCATGTCAGCCAGCACCTGAGCCGCCTCGGTTTCCTCCTGGAGCCTCGGGCGCTGCTGAGGTGGAGGCAGGGGCAGGCGCAGGAGAGGAGGCGGCGGCGGCGGCGGCGGCGGCGGCGGCGGCGGCAGCTCGCTCTGAGGGGGCTCGGAGCCACTAAGGCGGCGGGCCTTGGCCGGAGGCCCTTCATCTGGGCGGTCCATGGTGACCGCGTTCGCACAGCTTGGTTCTTCGCGCTTGGCCGGGCCGCCGCTGCTCGTCCCACCTGAAGCGAAGCTGCCGAGGGCTCACGCGACCTGCTCTGCTCTCAGCCTCGCAGTGGCGCTACCGCCCCCAGCTCCTGCCGTACTCCCTCGGCGCCAACAGTCAGGCCCAGCCCCCGTGTGATGCCAGGGGCCGTCCCGCAACGCCATTGGCTGCAAGCCGTGGTGGCGGCCCTTGCGCCCCCTAGCTCCCCGCTTGCTCTCACTCAATCTGCTTGCCAACACCGCACCTCATCACTTTCCCATTGGCTTCCCTCAGGCCCGCCAATCACCCGGCTGACTCTCTCAGCGACCGTCTAGACTGTGCAGGGCGATTGGCCACGGAGAGGTCTGAGGGGGATGAAGCCCTTCTCCCTCACCCGCCGACGTTTTATCCAATGGGAAAAGTACCAGTGGTTCTGAAGACCCAAACGCTAAACAGAAAAACAAGCGCAAGCAGTGAGCAGGATGTGCTCAGATAGACTCGAGAGCCTCGCCGTCATTCTCTCCCTCCCCCCCTCTCCCCGTCAGCAACTACGCACTTCTTAAATCTGCCCCTTCCCCTCGGCCTTGCTTTCGCCCCTGCAGCGGCGAACTCGGAGGCGGCGAACTCGGGGCTCGGGTGGCCCTGAAGGAGCCTGGGGTTTAGAAATCGAAGGTCTTTCGTTTGGGGCCAGGTTTTGACGTGGCGTTTCCCATTTCTGCAAAATGGCTCTAGCAATAATAATCACACAAAAAAACTTAACTTCCTCTGCGTCATGAAAATTATTGATTCAGTTCATCTGCTAGATCTTTCTAGGATTTTCTATTTCTTCATCAACTCCATACTTCTTTCCACCCTTTCCTGTCAATTTCCTCAGTGTATGCTGCTTTTAATTGTATTTTAGATTTGGGGGGGGCGGCAAATGGATGGTCTCTCATGAGGCACAGTGGTGGGGTTCTGACTTCTGTCTGGGATTCGTGCCACAGGTATGCTTCTCACTTTTAAACCCTGACAAAATCACTGCCTCTTTCTGAGCTTGTTTCCTCTCTTCTTAATAAGGTGTCACTAAAAAGACATTTAGAAAACTGCCCATTGCAGTCTTGTCGTGGTAGCAGAGAATTGGAGACACCTACAGACACATCATCCAGGAGAATGAATAAGAAAAATGTGATATATGTATAAGATGGACCACTAGAATGAATTAGGTGTAAACACGGCAACATGGCTGGATATCTCAAAAAACAGAATGTTGAGTGAAGAAAGAAACGGAACAAGATTTATAGTACAATACTGTTTATGTAAATTAAAACACATAACAATACCATACATTTCCCACATATACACGTATATGTAAATAAAACACATGAATGGTGGATTGGAAAAACACACGTTAAATACACAAGAGTGGGGTGCCTATGTGGGAGGGGCGATGGGATTAGGGATGGGTGATGAAGTGGACAAAACAAAACAAAAAAGAATATAAGGGCTTCATATGGACCAATGATGATACAGTGTGCCAAGAACTGAGGAGTATGGTCAACTCAATTCTGTGCATCTCACAGAGTAAAGTAATTGAGCGCCCAGGGAACAGGCTGACTGGGGAGACTCCCAGGCTTGTTTTTTTTTTTCCCCCTGTGACATCCATCCCTCTGAATTTAATCAAAACTTACCAAAATCCCAGCTGTATACAGTGGATCCTATCCCAGACCGAGCAGTCCCTCCATAAGCCATTACTTTGTGTGGGGGGGCATTACCTAACCCAACAGTTACCCCAAGTTTGATCCCCAATTACCAGTCCCCATTCTCCATGGTGGTCCAGTTTCAGGAACACCTTATCTGGGTTTTTGAGAGGAGACTCATACAGGAGTTGGGAGTGGTACCTGGGGGCTCCAGACTTTGGGAAGAGATGGGATTCTCAAGTATCCTGTCCCCCATGTTCAGAGCCTGGGCTAGGGGAGGAAGATCTTTTGAGATGGGAGTCTACCCTCTTGCTACATCCATACATATCATTTTCAAGTTCCATCTCTCTGACCACTCTGCTTCCTGCTGCAGGCACATACTGTTTTGTCTTCTCTCAATTAGGTGCCATATGTGCATGTGTGTGCTCACATGCACTGTATATGTCTCCACATACAGGCATTTGCTCACATATGTGCCCCAGGCCAGAGTGTGCCCCAACAAAGTCACACAGACACACTGTCTCACTTGACCATACCTCCCTACATGTGGTCATAGCAGATAGGGCACACACCCACCCACACAGACAGACAGAAAGAGAAAACATCCAATATAGCATTGTTCATTTCAGTTTTCCATTTACAAAATCCAGTGGTGAATCCAGGCAGTTAGAAAAAAGAAATAGAGGAAAATCCTCCTGAATGTACCCTATCTACCCCCATCCCACTCCCTGGGAAAGGCACCCCCATCACTATCACCAAGAGAACAGGTACCCCCCTGTATACCAGTCTCTCAGCCACTCTGGCCTGCCTTTCCAGGGCCACTCCATAACCAGGCTCATTAATGTCTCTCCTGCCTAGAGTGCCTTCTCCATTCCTCTTGCTTAAGTCGAGGCTTGCCCAGTTCCGGAGCTGTCTTAGGGTAGGGAGGGAGTGTAGGACAAGGGCTTCTATAGGGGAGAGAAAGGGGGTGGAAAAATACAGATCTCCCCCTCTCCCAGGAGATAAGAGGGGGACAGAGAACTTGGGAAAGACCAGGCAAAGAATGCCAGTTTTGCTCACCAGTCCATAAGACTTGATGTGAACCCAAAGTAGGCTCTGCCCTGGGAAGGAGGCTTTGGATCTCCCACCTGGGAAATCTGGCTGCATTCTGCTCCACTTGGGGTGGAAGTGATGGTGGAGGGAAGAAGAGGGGGAAGGGCTGTTCAGAGCAAGGAAGGTGGGGGCTAAGGGCCCAGAAGGCCAAGGGTTACCACAGAGGGGCCTGAGGCCCCTGAGGCTTTAAGGTACAAAAGAGGTCAGAGAGGAATGGACTCAAGTCCACAGTGCCTTGGAGCTTATACCACAATGACTTACCAAGGCCCTCAAAGAATTTTCATCTTCAGGAGAGTAGCATGAACTCAGGAAACAATTCTGGGGTTCAACTCTGCTCTGACCCCAGGCTTTGGGATTCAGCCATTCTGGGGAGTTTGACTTTCTCCCTACACTTCCCTGGAGTGCTTCCCTACAGCACTCCCTGGAGGGGTGCTGCTCCTGCCTGTATGGCACCCATCGACTTCAGTGGGGTTGGAGTGGATTTCCATCCTCAGGAAGAAGAACTGTAGGATGGGGATCCTGGAGGCAGCTTGAGAGAATGCAGCCAAGCTGAGGTCTCTTCAGCTCAAGGCATATTGCTCACATCCTGCTCTTCACCTAACCTGGGCCCATCCCAGAGGCCCTTCTCCCTCCCCTCCTTGTTTCTCAAACAGATGCTCAAGAAACACTTGGGAGGTCTGGACATGGTAGGGATGGATAAAAGATTGGCCTTGGGACCAGGGTTAGCCTAAAACAACATTGCACACAACATAGCAATGAAACCTTGCTCCCTGGGGACCGAGCACCCACTTTGGTCCCTCTCATCAGCAGATCAATTTCATTCAGGCCTTGCTAAAGGACTTGGAAGGAGAGGGTGCATGGGAGCAGAGGGGACAATAAGAGCTCTAGAAGTCTATTTTACAGGACAAATTTCCCCCTTCTGGACAATGTCAGAGGAGAGACATTAAAGCAAGAAAGCCTGTCTCCTCAGCTATGAGTAGGAAAACCTGCATTTTCAGTTTTTTTTTTTTCTGAATTGTCACTTCTGAGAGAGAGAGAGAGAGAGAGAGAGAGAGAGAGAGAGAGAGAGAGAGGAGAGAGACTGTAGAAGTGGAGGAGAAGGAGGAGGTGGAGACAGGCCCCATAGGACTAGAAATGCATCTTTCCCAGTCCCCACCCAGTCCCCAGCCCTGGGGAGGTGTTGGCAAAGGTGCCTAGATTCCAGGTTGTTCCAGGGTCTGGGGCTGGAGCTCAGAAAGAAAGGCTCCTGTGTGGAGCCCTACCTCTTCCCTTCTGTTGGCTCCGTCGTGGTGGCCACGACCTTCTCCCTGCCTGTCTGCCTACCAGCCTGCTTCACATCACACAGTAGGGTTCTCTAGGAGCTGGGGCACCTCCTGTGCCCCAGCAGGGGGCGTGAGTCCTCAGGCACTTCTTGAGGTCCTTGTTGAGCAGGAAGCAGACGATTGGGTTGACGGCAGCCTGGGCGAAGCTCATCCAAACAGCAGTGGCCAGGTAACGGTGGGGCACGGTGCAGGCTTTCACAAACACTCGCCAGTAGCAGGCCACAATGTAGGGTGACCAGAGGAGCAGGAAGAGCAGTGTGATCGCGTAGAACATACGGCCCAGCTGCTTTTCACCCTTGACCTCGTCCATGCCCAGCAGCCGCCGGCTGGCTGCATGCCCATTCTGCCGGATACCCAGTAGGGTTGGTGGCATGGGCCCTCGGCCAAAGCCAGCGATCCAATTGGCAGCAGCCTGGCCAGTGGCCCCAGGGCCATGGAATGTCCAGTTCTGACTGATGGCTGGCACCATCTGCACAGGCTTCATCTTGCGGTGACGATACTCGAAGAGGAGCAGCTTGCCATAGACAGCATGTGTGGCTGCCATAAGCACAGCCAACATAAGCATGAAGCCCAGCGTGTCATTGGCCTTGAAGTAGCGATGCTCAAAGATACACTGGTCCTCCTCACGGATGAACTTGTAGGTGCCCACGTCGAAGACAGGTGGGAAGGCCATGGCCACAGACAGGGTCCAGGCCATGCAGATGATGGCTGCGCATGTCCAGAGTGTCATGCGCTTGGCATAGAAGCGGTGGTGGGCGATGGCCATGTAGCGTGTGACGCTGATGCAGAACAGCATGAAGGCCGCATGGAAGCAAAAGAGCACAGCCATAAAGGCCACAATCTTGCAGCTGAGCGCACTGAAGGTCCATGAGGAGCCGTGGCGCACAGAAGCCAGCACAAAGGGGAAGCAGACGGCAGAGCGTATGCCGTCAGCTAGGCACAGGTCCAGCAGAAAGTAGTAAGGAGCCTTGTGCAGGGCACGGTCCTTGAGCACCAGCAGGGACAAGATGGCGTTGCCCGCCAGGCTCACGCACATGATCAGTCCCAGCAGCACCAGCTTCACGTAAGCCGCTGCTGATGGTGGAGACAGTGCACCGCTCACCTCCTCGGGCTCTCCAGTGGTGTTGGCCATACTGAGGGGCAGGGGCTGCTCCCAACCCTATGGGGTCAGCCAGTCCAGTACTCGATGGGCCCCAGGGGACTCCATCAGTTGTTCTGCTGGGCTGCACCTGCAAATGAGGATAATGGGGGAGACACAGACACAGATAGACAGAGGTATGAGGGCAGGAGAGAGCGTGAAAACACACACACACAGGGGCAGAGAGAGTGAGAAAGGACAGAACAAAGAGAAAATGGACACAAATTGAGACAGAAATGGAGGGGATGAGAAAGAGTTAGAAAAGATAGGGAGACAGACAGAGCCAGAGAGACAAGAAGAGGGGGAAAGGAGAGAGTAGGGAGGGAGAGAGAGAAACACAAGAAAAAGAAACAGTGAGAAACAGATGGAAAGGAAAGGTGAGGAAGAAAGAGAAAGGGCAGTGTTAGTGTGTCTACGCGGCCTCCCCTCTTACTCCCAGCTAGTGTCAGGCCCTGCCCCTGGCCCACTGCTGCTCCTCCTCCCTCCTTGCTGAGTGAGGGGTGCTTCATCTCTCTGGATGCCCTCGGTTACCTCTTTCCTCCATTGGTGGGTCTGTGGGATGGGGATGTGGGTGCAGCTCTTCTCTCCCTTTGTAAAGCCCAAAGGTTGTGTTCTTCAAACTTTTAAAACTGCCACCCATAATAAGAAATACATCTTATATCACAACCTGATACACATACACACATGTGCACATAGAGCTGAACCCAAAGTTTCACAAAACAGTACAGAACCTATATGTAATGTACCTCATTAGCTTTTATTCTATTTCACAGTGGTTTTATTTTTTTCTTTTTGGTTAACACTAGTAGCTACTCATTAAATAGGTTTCTTTATTCATAATGAAGAATGTGTTTAGCACACTCATGAACAGTAGGAAGATCAGTGTGGTTGGAACAGGGCAGGCAAGAGAGACAGTGGAAAGTTAATTCACAGAGGGGTCTGGGGCCAGATTGTGCAGGGCTGTGGGCCATGACAAAGACTTGGGTTTTTACTTTAAATGAAGTGGAAAGTATGTGTGAACATAAAGATATAGGTATGCTTGTGTGTACTCATTTCTTGAAAAACTATTTATTGAGCATCTACTGTGTGCCAGGCACTGGTGACACAGATGTGAAATAAACAGACAAAGGTCTCTGCTCTTGTGAAGTTGACATTCTAGATAATAAAGAAGATACATAGGTGAAATATAGTAGGCCAGATGATGATAAGTTCCTAAATTTAAGGAGGGAAGGGGGATAGGAAGTGCCAGGGGTGGAGGAAGTACAGTTTTATTTATTTTTGGAAGTACAGTTTTAAATGAGGTGGACAGGGGGAGCTTCATGGAAGAGGTGACATCTGAGCAAAAATATGAAGGAGGTGAGCGAGCCATGTGGATATCTGGGAGAAGAGAAGTCTAAGCAGAGGGAATTGCCAGAACAAAGGTTCTGAGGTGAGACTGCACGTGGTACATTTGAGGAAGAGTAAGGAGGTAGGTGGGATGGAATGAGCAAGGGGAAAGTGGTAGGAGGAGAGCTCAGCAAGGTGGTGAGGCCAGATCACATAGGTCACATTGAGGACTCTTGACTTTTACTCTGAGTGAGATGGGCGCCATGGGAGAGTTTTGCACAGAGATAAGATGTGATATGACTCAGGATTGAATGGGATCCTGCTTGCTGTTGTGAGGAGCATAGATCATGTGAGGCGAAGGTAGAAGTAGGGATACTACTTGGGAGGCTCCTGTAGTAATCTGGGTGAGAAAACAGCACTCCTGTGCCCTCCTGCCCTGCTTTATTTCTCTTCCTGGAATTTCTCTCTTCTGATGCACTACATAATTTACCTTTTTTAATAGTTGTTTTAATTTATTTATTTATATTGTCATATAGTTGATGTAAGTATTATATAAGTTATAGTGATTCACAGTTTTAAAGATTATACTTCATTTATGGTTAGTATAAAATATTCACTTTTAAATTTTGATTTATTGCTTGCCCCTCCCTATTAGAAGGAAAGCTCCACGAGGGTAGGGATTATCGACTCACACACTCTAGAAGAGCAGTGCAGAGCCCACCGTAGGCTCTCAGTCAAAAGCTGTCAAATCAATTGGTTGAGGGACTAGGGGGCTAGTGGCTCGGGGAGGGCCACCTGGAGGCATCCGAGTAAGATTTGCTGAGAAAGCAGTCTGGGCAGTGTGTGAATGGGAGGGCACAGGAAAGCTTGGGGGTAAGTAGGAGAGCTCCTAGTGTATGAAGGCTGGGTGGGGGATATAGGGTGTGATAGGATAGCAGGGCAGGTTTCCCAGGAGAGGCAGTAAAGCAGAAGCCAGAGAAGCTCAGAGCTCCTGCTGGGGCTGGGATGGGATTGAGGCTGGAAGATGTGGGGCTTGAGTGGATGTCTTTCTTCCCCCTCCCTCCCTGGAAAATGGCTCCCCTCTGCACTGTTTCTCAGTTCAATCCAACTGAGCCTGCCACAGCCACCTGGGGCCAAACTTTTCTCATGGTACCCCCAAAGTCTCAGAGCCAGTGCCAGTGGACCAAGAGAAGGTGCTAGGGCAGGGGCTTGAGATAAGTGGAGCTGGTGGGCCCCTTCAGCCCCTCAAGGCCTCACAGCTCCCACAGATCTGTGGACTAGCTGATAGCTGGGTGTGTGTAAATATGCACACACACATACACACACACACTCCTTAGCCTTGAGGAGTGGCAGGGGGAAGTGATAAGAGACAGAAATTGAATGTAAGACAGAGTCAGACACACAAGTGACAGAGAAAGAGAGAGGAGCAGAAACAGAAAGATGGAGACATAGGAACATGGCGGGGAGGGGTGGGAGAAATAAACAGAGAAAGGAAAGAGGTTTACATAGAGAAGAGGAGACAGAAAGAGGAAGAAGAAAGGAAGCCAAAAAAAGACAGACAGACAGACACAGAGAAACAGAGACAGTGCAAGAGACCAACAAGGGAGGAATATAGAGACAGAAAGGGGAAAATAGATGAGAGTGGGAGAGAGAGAGACAGAGAGAAAAAAAATAGAGAGAGAGAGAGAGAGAGAGAGAGAGGGAAGGAGGGAGGGAGACAGAGACAAAGAGATAGAAGGACAGGGATAATGCCAGGAAAGGGAGAAAGATGTAGAGAAATAAAGAGACAGGGTTGGGGAGTGAGAGACAGATATAGAGAGGTGATGGAGATAGAGAGAGGCAGAAATAAAGATGGATACAGAGAGAGGGAGACACAGAGAGACAAACTAAGACCAAGAAAGTGGATAATGTGTAGCTCAGAGTCTCAGTGAAAACAAAAACAAACACTAAAACAGAATAAACAAAACAAAAAAACATAAAACAATACCAGCAAACAAACAAAACCCTGGTGTTGCCTGGAAAGCTGGGGTGATAATATAAAAAATGAGGAGAGGGTCTGAGCATGGATGGGCAGCCACAGCCTGGGACCATCCGAGACTAAGGATGCATGTCCATATGCGTAACATGTACACACCTGCTTGTGCCCAGATGCCCTTAGACAGAGATACACAGACACCAACACACACACTCAGAATCACATAGGCTACTTCTATAGAGACCAACGGACAGCAACCAGCTCACATATAGGGGCACTGGTGTGCATGCAAGGTGTGCATACACATACACACACACACACACACACACACACACACACACACACCGTATATTGTGTATGCTGCCTCATTCACACGGCACAGTGTACCCCTGCTTAAACACTGGCGCTTTGTTCTCAATAAGGGTATTACTGCCCCCTAGGGGAAATTTTGGAAATTTATAGGCGCATTTTTTGGTTTCCACAGCGCTGGGTGTGTCCCTCTAACATTTTTGGAGTCCGTGAGGATGTCGGCTGTCTGGAGACCTGTAGGGCAATTCCACACAATCAACATATGTCTCATATCCCATAGAATTTTGGACTTGGCATGAACTGAACCTAGACTCTATTTCACTGATAAACACAGTTGTTTCTTTGATTAAATATATCCTGAATTATCCAGGAATGTGGCTGTCATGTTAAGTCTAGAGACTATGCTTTGTTTTGTGGAGTACTTTCTTTGAGTAGTTCACTATTTCGGAAACTCTCATTCCTAGACCTTTGCCTGTCATTTTCCTGCACTTTGTACAAAGGGCAGCTTCTGATTTTTTCCCTTCTCTAAATCCATGTTTACCTGTTATGTTACAAGCCTTTAATTCACCGAATCTCTTAGGGAGTGTCATGTTCAAGCATTTCTGTATTGAAATACAAATTATTTTCTTATAAATCACTTTTATTTCTTATTTATTTATATTAGAGTTAATACAATGTGGATATGGTATAAAATACTATATGTCTTCTTTTGAAATTATATATGCAGAGAGGTTATATTATCTAAGAACTTAATGTTCAGATGGTAAAGGGGTGTTACAAAATGTGTTACATAAAAGAGGGTGTTGTGTACGGGAGGGCTAAGAATTGATCATACACACAGACACACCCAGACACACATGCACATACACATACATGTGCAGTGGCCCACAAACCCATTAATTACAACTCCCCTAACACACATACAAATTCTTAAATCCTGAGAGATACACACACGTACACCTACTCATTGTCACTCACACTCAGGCTCATATATACCCTTTGTCCCAGTGTACCTAATTATTCAAATCCTCTCTTGTAGTCAAACTCTTGCAACACAGGTATGAAAACAGTGGCATATCTATATTATCACATATACAATCATGGTTACACATGTTAACACTCAGTTATATACACCAGCATGCTCACATGCACTTGAACCCTGACACACACATATATACACACACAAACACACATATGTATGTGTATACAGACTGCCACTTGGATACCAACAGAAGAAACAGACTAGTTAAAAACTACTCACATATACACACATGTACATACTCTAACACACAGAGACCAACTGATCCAAGATGTCTCACACAGATTAGTTACACTCACCAACACAGATGTGTATACCCTAGCACAGATACACACAGTTGCCCAT